CCGGTCCCTGTCCCCATCCCCGTCGCACAAGGGGAGCCGCCATTTCCCGCCATTTCCCCACCCCACCCCGGGCCCTTCTCCCCCCTCTCCTGCCCCCTTCGCCCTCCTCCTTCCCGGCCGCCGGATAAAAGCCCGAACGTGTGAATCGCGGGGCACAAAGGGGAGGCACAAAGGCGGCCGGCCCCGCTCAGCCCTTCCCGCGGCCCCCGGCCCCGAGCAGGAATCTGCAGGCCTTGCGTCCACCCCGGCGATGTCCGGGCAGCCTGCCTGCCCTGCCTGCCCTGCCTGCACCCCGGGGCCCAGGAGCTGGCGTGGAGCAAGGGAATGACCAGGGGGTCCCCGGTAGGGTCAGGATGATGCTCCTGGGGTTAGGGGATGCCCTACAGGGTCAGAATGATATCCCTGGGGTTAGGAGATACCCCATAAGGTCAGGATGAGGCCCCTGGGGTTTGGGGATGCCCCATAGGGTTGGATGATGCTCCTGGGGACCAGGGGATGCCCCATAAGGTCAGGATGAGGTCCCTGGGACCAAAAGGATGCCCCATAAGGGCAGGATGAGGTCCCTGGGGTTCAGAGATACCCTATAGGGTCAGGATGAGGCCCCTGGGGTTCAGGGATGCCCTGTAGGGTCAGGATGAGGCCCCTGGGGTTCGGGGATGCCCCATAGGGTCAGGATGAAGCCGCCGGGGTTCGGGGATGCCCCACAGGGTGGGATGAAGCCCCGGGGCCGGGGTTTGGCCGGCACCAGGTCGGCTGGGGCAGCCTGGGTGCCTGCGTGGGGCAGCAGAGGAGGGGCTGGGGGGCACAGCCCAAGCCCTGGGCAGGACGGGGTGAGCTCTGCCCCACGGCCCTCGGCGAGAGGAGGGGCGAGAGCCTGGTGATGCCGAGGACACCGACACCCCCAGCCCTGCCACCCCTTGGGGAGCTGCACCCCAAAGCCTTGGGGTAAGGGGGCTGCTCCGAGTCCCCCTCTTTGACCGGGCCAAGGCTGATCCGGCATCGTCCCTGCGCCGCGCAGGGATGCTCGGGGCTGGGGCAGGACCCTGGCCCGCAGCAGGGCCCCCGCGGCCCCTCACCCCGGCTCTCCCCGGTCCGACGCGCCTGCGCCCGCCGAGCCGGGCTGCCGACAGCTGGACGGAAGGAGCTTTCCCAGCACATAGCGACAAATTCCTGGCGGGCAGGGCTGCTTTGCAGCCGCCGCGGCCTCGGCAGGGGGAAGCTGCCCTGGAAAGAGGCGGATTAAAAGCTCTTTGGCTCCGGTGGCGCAGCCCAACTGGTCCCATCGCAGGGCCACCTGCTCGGCACGACACCCCAGGATGCTGCCTGCCACCCAGGGCTGGGGCAGAAGGGGATGCTGCCACCCCCCACCGACCCCGGCCGAGCCCCGGGGGCCCCGCACGGAGGCTCAGCCCTGCCTGGGAATTGCTTCCTTCCTTTATTTGCTCTGCGGCATCACGGGAGGCCTTGGGCTGCCTCGGGGTCTCCATGGACCATCCTCCTCCTCCACCCCGCTCCTCCCCCAGCTG